AAACAGATTAAATACAAGGGGACAGCATCGCGCTTTTACCCGCTTGTCTTGTACGTCGAGCACAAAGCAAATAAATTAAGAAACCCAACGAAACACTGAAAAATATTAATACAAGGGGACAGCATCGCGCTTTTACCCGCTTGTCTTGTGCGTCAAGCACAAGTTAAATAAATTAAGACCAACGAAACACTAAAACAGATTAAATACAAGGGGACAGCATCGCGCTTTTACCCGCTTGTCTTGTACGTCGAGCACAAAGCAAATAAATTAAGAAACCCAACGAAACACTGAAAAATATTAATACAAGGGGACAGCATCGCGCTTTTACCCGCTTGTCTTGCGCGTCGAGTACAAGTTAAATAAATTAAGAAACCCAACGAAACACTGGAACAGATTGAATACAAGGAGAAAGCCTCGTAATTTTACCCACTTGTCTTGTGCGTCAAGCACAAGTTAAATAAATTAAGACCAACGAAACACTGAAACAGATTAAATAATACGTCGAGCACAAAGCAAATAAATTAAGAAAACCAACGAAACACTGAAACAGAATATCAAATACAAGGGGAAAGCTTCGCGCTTTTACCCGCTTGTCTTGCCAAGTTTAAAGAAATTTAAAAACTAAAAAACAAACGAACAAAATAAACTATGATGGAGTGAGCAAGTCATGTGCAACTTGATGTTCGAGACCATCCCAACTAAACAGCTTGCAATACAGTGAAAGCCACGTGACATAAAGTTTTGTGATCATTGCCTCTTTCCTTTTTGTGTTCCATAATAYTTTAAGTTTTTTTTCTTAAATTTTGCTTCACTTGTATTTGAAATTTCACTTGAGACGCTGACACATATTTACAGCAGCATTTTGTGTAGTTTGGATGTATTTTTATGCAACTGTACATTTCAAGAAAATTCAAGTTGCTTTTTGGGTTGACCTTGTTTTAGAAACACCATACAGTTTTATGAGCAACTTTTTTGGCAGCTTAGATAAAAGTTTGTGTTCATAAATTAATTGGCTCTGCAATTTGCAGACTTACTTAAAAGGATAAATTAAAATGTGAAACTTTCATTTTACGCGAGTACTTGCAATATTTGTGGCTAAGGTCAGATTTCAGTTTAAAAAAAAAGTTCAAATTAATTATGAAGAATATATAGAAATTTTAACTGTAAATTATTAAGTAGTTGATAAATATTTTCAGGTCAGTGTTGGCGGTGATTTAGTGATTATAAGCAAATATCAGCAGACTGCAGCTGAAAAAAATAGCAAAACGTTAGCATATCCCATCGTGCACCACAATCATAGTGGATTTCAATCCCGATGACGTCATGTTAAATTTTCGAAGAGCGTCATGGTATAAATAAAGTTAAGATAATGTTAGTTTTTGTTGAGGCGATTTTCGAATAAGAATCTTGAAGTAATTTCTAAGAATTGAATAAAATGGTGTCTCTATGGCTGCACATCGCATGTGGCTATTGAATACTTACTCATCGTCCTCATTGCCACCAGTAAAAACTTTGCCTTCATTGTGTTTCTAAGAAGAAAAATGGTTTTTATTAGTTTAAAATGTCTGGTCTGCGATAAAAGTGCCAAAAAAAACCCCGACATCTTCATTTTTGTTTTCAAAAATCACAAAATGTTGACTTACTGTGTGTTCAATAATGTTGGACTCAGCTTCAATAACACTGTAAAGATAAAACCAATATACAGTTGGTATTGATCAAATAAGAATTAAAACCATATTGGAAATTGCGCACAAGACAGTAATTGTCGAGCGTAAGTATAGTCTCGTGGTAACTGCCGTTATAAATCAATGCARATCAGGCTGAGTGGAAAGAATTCTCTGATAACGGCTGCGAAAGTGACTCATCTGGAGAGTCTACTATGATAGCGAGTTCTGGGGAGACTACTCTGATCAAAGCAGAGAGGACTACTGTGGTATAGTAGTCCTACTGTGTACTGTGGTAGGACTACTGTGGTATAGGCTACTATTCGTGTGGCGTTACTCTGACAATGACTGGGTTTCGTGATTCCGTCCATAGTTAGAAATTCCAATGTGTATTCCAAAGTTTTTGTTAGCTACATATAATCATCGTTAGATTGAGTTATAAAACACTACCTTTGACGTTTAATGGCGTTGTCCTGTGTTAAAATAACAAAAAACAACAATTAGGACAGTTTACATAGGTTAGGATGCCCTTAGGTCTATCACTTTGCTGCAAGCTAGTCCTACCCCTAGTCAGTACGAGTAACGTTGTGTAAACGTATTTCATGGAACAAATTCATGTCCACCTGTCTGCAAGGAATGACGAGATATATTCGTACTTACACTTAACTCCTTTTTCTCTCTTTCAAGTTTGGTTATTTGAAGTTCTTTCTCGTTGAGTAAACTGAAATCACAAAATATCACGATGTCAGCACTACTTTTATATTGGGATAAATATGTGAAGTGAATTCCGTCGACGAAAAAGCATGAATCTCTCTACGAACTATAGGCTTTTGGTGGACAATTCTATGTTTATGCAAAATAGGCCAAACTATAAACACGTTGTTATATCAATGGCTATCTTTTTCATGATTCTAGAGACCGTCTTGAGATCCTTAAAAAAAAGAGAATCACGCCATATCTTACCTTTCTTGTGTCTTGATCTTATCCTGTGGATAATCGATATAGAAAGTCATAAAATATGTAAATCTTCATTTGAATGTGAAGGAATATGTTTTCTTTACAAAATGACTGATGCCTGCAGACATTGTACTTACCGAGAGTTTTTCTAACTCAAGTTCCGAGACTTTGGCTGTTCGTTCTTGCTTTGCAACGTCACTATACAGACCAACAAAGTAATCACAAAGCAAAAGTCAGCTATTTTGTGTAAATTCCCAGTAATACTACTTWATCATAACCKTACCTTTTCAGCTTTGTGATGGTGCTCTRTAATATTGATATAAAGTAAAACAATATATTAGTATTTCACGCCGAACTATTTCACGTACACTTAACATAAATCGTGACAGCATGTTTTGTACTTACCAGCAATTCGTGATTGTCGGCTTCAAGTTGTTGYACATGGTGATTTTTCTCACTGAGTGACCTGGTGATTAACAAATACCAGCACAATCATGTTAGATTCATATATGATAACAAGGAAGTTCAAGTTGCTGAACTTTAAGGGTTTGTCTACTCACTGCAGTTCAGAAAAACTTTCAACAAAGTAATAGTACTATTTTCCTAGCTATTTTTCTAGTACTTTTTCACGCTTTTAGCGTTGGCAATCTAATTTATTTYCCTAAAGCAGAGTAACAAACAACACAGATCTACATGTCATTTCTAACTAGTACCTTTTCAGCTCTTCAGTGGTTGCCTGTTGATAACAGTAAACAATGCAGTTATTATTTAAAGCTAATTTTAAARYCATACATGTGATCGTGAYGCTGACTTGAAAATGTGTAATACTTACATGTAAAGACTCTTTCTCGTTTTCGAGTTGGATTAATTTTGCTTCTTGCTCGGTGAAGGAGCTGGAGATTGACAAATAACACAATGTCAGTACTAGTCATTGATTTAATTCACGAGCATATGAGAAATGGATGCACAAARGTTATAACAATTCCACCTAACTGCAGTAGGGCAGTAATGAAAAAATACAAACGACACTTGAAGCAAAACCAAATAATTCTAGGTCAATTCCGGTTCCCGCAAAAAGGCATACAGTGTAGTTTGGAATACTATATTTTTTAAAAAGCATATYCCGAAAYCAAAAGGCATTGTTGTTATTGTGTCATTACCAAATTACAATTATCAAATGACTTTCCATCGAAAGTGTGGAGCTGGTATAGTCATTCTTGATTACTGAAAACCCCTTTAATGCGAAGAAACAACGACYCGGTAATGCATTTCAATAGACATTTTTAAATACTCTATCATCAGTTTTAAACATTTTCTGAAAATAAAGAGCACCACATTACCTTTCTTGGCATTTGATTTTGTTCTATGAATAAGAATTGATGTTGTTAGTAACGAGCTAATACTGTTGTTTCACTAACTGAAGATAGAGTAGGCGCACTTTTTAAATCCGTGAAACAAATATCACTAATAACAACTAAATAGTATTGATCAAAAAATAGAAAACAATACAGCAAAAAAACGTTTTGTTCCATTTTCGTTTCACGGACTAAGCGCATTTGCTGTAAGAGTCCAAGCAAAATARCAGCGTGAATCATCTATGAATAAATTGTGCAATAGTTCTAGTTGTGAAAAACATTATCATAATACAATACAGTATTACTTTACAATCGGGATCTACGAAACAACTTTCTCTTACCGAGAGTTGGTCTATCTCATTGTTCCACACTTCTTTTTCCATGGTATGTTTRCCAACTTCACTACACGGAACAACATTGAAATGTCAATAAAAATAACAATAACCTACTTTACTAAAATAAGGCTACACCGGGACATAACCTTACCTTTTCAGTTTTGTAATGGTGCTCTGTAATATTGATATAAAGTAAAACAATATATTAGTATTTCACGGAACTATTTCACGTACACTTAACATAAATCGTGACAGCATGTTTTGTACTCACCAGCAATTCGTGATTGTCGGCTTCAAGTTGTTGTACATGGTGATTTTTCTCACTGAGTGACCTGGTGATCAACAATACCGGTACAATGTTAGATTCATATGATAACATAGAAGTACATCAATAAGAGGAGGAAACTAGCTCACTGCTAACGAGGTAGTCGATCTGTCAGAGAACCACACAGACTCTGGTCTCGAAATTGCCTTTRGTTTGTCAAAASTTTCGATGGGTCCCCTCCCACAAGACAAAATTAGGTTTATATTCCAGGAATTCATGTGCGTTTCTTGTGATAAGCTTTTCAAAATGTTGGCTAAAGCGATCGTAATACCGGCTAAACTGTAAGATATTTACTTTTTATTGCATTTATGGACAAAATATGACTAGTTTCCGGAAACTAGGTGAACTAGTTTAAATCCACTCCTTCGTACGTGTGTATAGCGAGATGGGAGAACATGGGCAGACAAGCTTACGCTCAGGCTAATGGTCGGATATCTAAAATACTTTCAACCTATTGTTTAAGAGCCTAGTGTTTACATCAGACACCTAATTCTATACCTCACTATATAGCGGATAAACACAAAAACATTACAAACTTTTATTTGACTAAAAACAGAGTAATAAGCGGCTGCTACTTATGGGCTATCAAATAGATTCCAAAAGAATAAATTATACCGATGTTACTGTACCTTTTTGATTGGTCAATGATTTCCTGTKGATATCAGTTRATATTAATCAGTACATGAAAGTATTTAACAATTGAGAAGTACGCATGCGCGTATCATGTACTTACAATCAACTTGAGTTTTCCATTCTCCAGCTGGAGCAGTTTTTCATCTTGCTCGCTGAGTGAACTGAACAAATACCAAAATGTCAATAATTTTCTAGCTTGATTTACGAATATGAAAGAAAACTACAAAATTATTAGAACGTGAAAACGCACCTTTCAAGATCACGGACTTTCATCTAAAAAATAAAGAAAGACATTAGATTTATTGAATCTTAAGCTGAGCTTTACAATAAAGGATCTGAAATTGTATGTCTAGTACTGGCGGGCTCTAGTGCTACACTCATGTGTACAACACATACTCGAAACTACTCCGTCTGGTTGTCCGGTCAATTGAAGTTGGTCATCTTGAATTTAACCTCGATAATGAATAAAATTTTTCAGTGAWTTTGCCACTGTATAGTATCACGTTGAATTTTAGCGTAGTTGTTTATGCATTTGCTTTATTTTTGAGCTTAACTTAAATTATAAAAAGAGTCTAGACCGGAGAAAAGTCGACATCTACCAATCAGATCTACTCGCGTCCAGTCTCCTGCCTACACGGTTATATGATACAAATATATACTAACTCTCATTAAGAAGACTTCTTCATCTGATTCCCCAGATTCGCTGTGGATTATCAGATAAACATAGGTTACATTTGGATACATGTAAGTGAACGACCAGCATGCACACGGAATTTCTTACTTTTCTCAAAAACTACGATTTCAAAGTGTTTTTAACTTCAAATGAGTTTTTCTAGTATATATACTGATAAACTGATTTTGCTCAAATCAATTCAAGCTTTAAATTTTGGTGATACATTACCTTTCAAGGATATCAATTCTTTCCTATTGAAAAAAAAAAAAAATCAAAAATACAGTTGTTAAAAGTAGATGATAACGACTCATCGACTCTATCGTTGCGAGGATCTAGATGAGGGACTGAGAGCCCTAACCTCAGTAGTCATCAGAATTTTGGACAAGTGTAAGTTGTTCAATAAACGTTCACCAAATGATGCCGTCACAGTATAACCGACTTTGTCAGTCAAATTCTGACCCATTTAACAATTCAATTCTATTCACTTGGTAAAAGATTTCACCTATTGGCTGTTGCCTCATCTAGACCGTCCGTCAGGTAAAGTCGTTATTAGTGAAGTTAACATTCTATATCGTGTATTTTCACAGTATTTTATTAATACTCGCAAAAACCAGACAATGCTTCATAATCTTTATTCAACCTAAATTAAAATCAATTAAGTACTTACAAGGAAATCAAGGACCCGAATTTTATGTCGAGCCTCCATATCTGACAGTTTTCTGCGATAAAATAAAATGGATATCATTGCTATTTCGGCGTCCCGCGGTCAGCCCTCGTTGTCTACATAATGGTTCTTGTGCACCAGTACAAGATGTCCTTATATCGTGTTATGTCTGCATTCGTCCCTAAGTTCCCTTCCGCTCCCAACCCCCGTTGTTCATGTTTTCGAGCTCTTGTACTATGTGATGACGTTCTTATCTTGTATTTGTTTCCCGAATCAGTTCTCATTTTTGTTGCTGTCAATGCTCCTGAACTCAATCCCTGTCCCTCCCTATCCTTGCTCTATTCTATCGATGCATCCCTGTCATACCCAGGAGCCCCTATCACAGTCCCCCACCATTGTACTCTTCTTAATAGGAATATTCGAGTTGTACCTTTGTAAGTCTTCAATGAGGCTCTGTAGATAAAGGAACAAGAACAAATTAAAGATCAATAGATGATTCACATAGAAATCAAAGTACAAATCAGTGCTTACGTGGAGGTTCWTGTTCTCTTGAACCAGTTCTCTGTCGATGATAAAATGGACAAATATTGATATAAACATTTTATGAGCTACACKACGTACAGACAAGTTACACCATAGTGATGATTGTGGCAATTGTCGTCCTACGCTACACTAAAGAAAAGTGATTCGCATTTTTGAAGTACATAACACTAACCTTTGATCTTCTTTGAATCTTTGCTGCGAGAGAAAATTTATAAAAAAATACATTAATATGTACTTATCGACTCTTTGAGAATGCTCCTATATAATGTTTGTGTTTTTGACACACATGGCTGAARGCTCCCTTWGCACAGTTTGATTATTCAGCGTTGTATAACACATACCAATAATTGTTCTTTTTCTCTTTCGAACCTGAAAGAAAAAATGATCCTGAATATTGCACATGGTTTGATTATTGTTTCGTAAATCCATCCATCAATAAGTCCAGATATGATTATTCTCTATGCTCATCGCATTCCATTCGGTTGCCCTAATCTCTTTCTTCTATCCCATCCCTTCATCCAGATTCACCCATCCTCAGCTCATAATCATTGATGAATTAATCTCTCTTCCTATTTCATGTTCGTCCATTTAAGTATCTTTTCTCTAATTTATTTATCTCGACATATTTTCATCATATTGATTCTCCCATTAAACTAAGTGTTCCGAGAACAATAGTCATTGTCAAAGTTCATTCCAGTCTCGTATTTTCAACAGATGCGTCATACTTACATGCTGACCATCCTGACATGTTGTTTCTTCAATGCACACTAAAACAAGATCAAACACAATGAAATCACTAAAGTTCTATCGTGACTGGAACGTAATCTACAACATAGCTTGATAAAAAATCAATTTATTCCCCCCTGATCTCATTACTTCTATTCGTAAGCTGGCATTTTTGAACGCTTCTTTTYTTTACAAACTTACCGCTAGCACTTCATTCTGATCGCACTTTGATTTCTCTGGCAATTCAAACGAGAGATTTTAGTGATGCTGCTATAGTTGATCAACATTATTTCTACTTACTGTTATTGTGTCTGTCCATTTTCTCAATTTTTAGTAAGAAGTAACTTTGTAAAAGCTTTTTAATGCTGCGAGAAACGCAAGTATAGCTCGATAATTTGCGATTATGACGTCATAAAGAGMGCGCGCGTTGAACCTGTTCTACACAGAACAAGAATTCCTGTTTATCCAMAGGTAGCCCGTAGGTACGTTACAAAATACAAGAAAAAAAAAAAACTCGCTAAATAGTCGTCCAAATGACCTGAAAGTTCACACGAAGAGCAAGGACAATAAAAGAGACAACGTAGAATGTTTTGTTTTTAATTTTATTTATTTTTCCTCAAATTTCAGCTAAAAGCGCCTATTGCAGAGCTTGGGCTACCTGTGGTTTATCATCAATACATCGGTACCCAGAGCCCGCAATTTTACCATCCAGCGTCAGAATACCGCTGACATTAGCCGTGAAGACTCTGGGCTCGAGATTGCTTTATCAATTCAACCAATGTTCATTCAACCCATGCAGTTCCAACGACTTTTTTTCCCAGAAGAGCATGTCCTCTAGCGTATGAAGAAAGGAGAGTATCGTGGTGACGAAGTTATAAAATAGAACAATGAAGAAGTTTTAAAAACTTCCGGATTCCGAAACATTGGATTCCGGATTCCGAAACATTGGATTCCGGATTCCAAGCCTTGGGATTCCGGATTCCAAAGGAGTTTTTGTTTTGGATTCCGGATAATAAATGGCGTGATTTTCACAGTGTCTTTTTTTTCCTGAAAATTTTATATTCAGCGTCAGTAGCCTGCGCAGGGCGCCAGCAACGCAAGGTAGCGCGTCACTAATTTGCACTGTCTCCAATTGTCGCATGCTGACAAACAAACTACGTATATGAAGTACAGTAAAGTACAGCATATCAGTTGGATGTACGTTCTCATCTCTAGACAGCTAGATTTTTACTGATGAAAGCAATCTTCCTAACTATCTGGATTATGGATTCCAAATAATTGGATTTCGGATTCCAGGAAAGGGATACCGGATTCCAAAGCTGTATTTTTACTGGATTCCGGATTCTCTTACAAGGGGCGACTCGTCGCTAGTCATCTACTCGTTTTAAGGGGGGATTACAGTCAAAATTTGGTCAAATTTGTAAAGATTTTGAAGAAAATTGTATAGATCCCTAATTGCAATGTAATATAAACCTACTTGCAGAAACGTTGTCATAGAAAATAGAACATTCGAATTTAGTAAAAAGGAATAAATTAAAACAAAACAAAAGAGAGCGTTCAGCCTCAGTGACCTTCTTTTGTCTTTATAATTCATTCCTTTTTACTAAAATACAAATGTCCTATTTTTTGATGACAACGTTTTCGCAAGTAGGTGTATGTATAGAAAGAGTATACTTCAGGCTTTGAGAAGATAAYATTACCTTTAATAATTAATGAATTCTCAGTTAATAATTAACCATATACTTACAGTCCCCAAAATGCTAGGACCCTACTGCCCAACTTTMTGATGGATTTATAATACATTTTTTACAAAAACTGAATTAGAGGCGGAAAGTAAAGTATGGCTTCTATATCTTGCGGTCTGTGTCGGGATGAATAAAAGTTGCAGGAAATAAGGAATGAATGCAAGAGTTTTTTTATTTGTATGTTTGCATCAAAATAGATTAATAGTTGTACAGCTGTACAAACACTGATTTGACTTATCTTCACGATCAAGCCACATTACCAACTAATATTGATGGTGCATATACTTGTTAGACATGTGTGGAAATTCTAAGAAATTGCTCCAATTATTTCTACTTTGATTAATGTTATTTTGGATTCAGACTAAACTACCTCATCGAGGAAATGAGATCGTTCTATAGGAAGGCATACCATCTAAAATAATGATGGCAATTATCATAATGGCKGAATTTGCGTCGAATTTATAAACCAGGACTTGGCGGGATATTCTTTGCTWTGCAATGGAATTTGAACATTTGTCATAATTCGTCGAGATCTTTGAATAGACTTGTATCCTATCATCTTTAATGTTCGTTTGCAATAGCGCTCAATTATTAAAATGTCCCTTAACGACGCTTTCGTCCTCCATTGGTTTACACGTTTTGCAGAGTCGGCGGTTGTGCAGAAATGCTTATTTATTTTTCTTCGTTTACAACTTAATTGCATTTCTTGATTGCTTGCATGTGTGGTTTTGTTCAGCCATGTTTTTACCGTGTCTTCCTCAGATAACCCAACAAACTTGAACAGCCTTGAAAGTGTCTTCAGAGGACTTGTTGCAAAATCTTCGTATCTCTGAATCAGTATRCGATCCCGCCAAGACTGTACATTGTTCTTAATAATCTCCAAGTTATACTCGGTTTCCTTGCATTTTCCAATGGAATACTGTCGCAGACCATATCTCTTTTTGTCATCATGAAAAAAAGCGACTTTTCGAGCAGAAATCATGACAGCCCGCGGATCTCGAATWAGRAAAATGATTTTACAATCAATGTCAGATGAACTGCACACRGACCAAACGTTCTCGATAYTTTTATCTTCTATTCGCTCCATTAGTATTTTAACTACCGTCACATTATAGTTCTCTCGACAGACATCTTCCAGTGAATCGCTGGTTAACGTGGGRCAWAGGTCTAGCGTCCATCTTGGATCTGTCATGTTCAGCTTGCAAAGAGGAGGTGATCGTATAGCTATGCTGTCAAAATTAGGAAAATAGTATCCACGTGAGTGGATRTACATGGTAAACGCCTTGCCAAACTTACAACGAAGAACATCTCTCAAAACATCAGTTACCAGTGKTTCATAATAACGTGGTTTTTCTCTGTGCAAGATGTCGTTGAGAAAGTGGAGGGGTTCAAAGAGATAAAACACCGACGGATGATGGTTGAAGACATCCCCGATTATGGAAGACCCAGAGCGTCCATGAGCAATAATAACAATGTTTCTACGGTGTATTTTGCTTTTCACTACAAAATTCGTCGTCTCCTTTTCGMGTTGGTTATTTCTCTGGGATATTATTACACTTTTTGAGACAYTCCACGAGTTTTCATGATCGCAGTTGTGAAGATGTTGAATGAGCCAATATGTCGAAGCGATCGAAATTAGATAAAAAAGAAAAGAAATGGCTTTGATATTCCTTCGACGCATTATATCCGGATGCTTGCCTATGTTCTTTTTTAGGTCTTTTTTTTTGCTTGCCTAAGTTTAAAACAATTCAAGTTTTTTGTTTTCGTTAGTACTTTTGTTAAGTACTTTCGTTACTTCGTTACTTTCGAGTAATACAAAATGATTTATCACTTTGTAGATCCTCCAAACTCTAGACATTATTGATTTTTACAGTGCAGGTGATTAAACGATAAACCGTTAATTATCTAGTATAAATGTAAATATGACTCAAAATTTAATCATGGCGAATTCTGATCATTGAGTACTTGACTATAGGTCTAATTATGAAAAGGCCATTATCATGATATATGAAAAAACTTTATTGCTCGTTTACACTTGATTCAATTTTCTYGCCYGTTCGCGTGGCAAAGCAAACATTGCCGAGTTGAGCAACCCTTTTGAATACACTAACTACAATAATCCAGAAAAGGGCTACCACTTTGTTGCTCACTTTTSGAACAAGAGATGATGGTATAGCCTTGTTTAATGCGCAAATGTAACACAAAAAGATATAACAACTCGCGATATTTCACACAAAGGTTCTGTTTAAACATGTGACTGGAAAAAATCGCGCGCTTTGAAGGTTGTAAATTTGATGTAAATATGATGTAAGTGTCCAAAATTCTTTAAATTTGATGTAAATGATTTCCATTAAATTTACAGAATTTTGGACAATTACATCATATTTACATCAAATTTACAACCTTTAAAGCGCAAGATTTTTTCCAGTGAAAAATCGCGCTAGGTGTCAGTCAAAGTTCACTTTCATTTCATACCAGCTATCTTTACACTATCTACTGGGAACCATGAAGTGTATCTGTAATGTTCAGCCATTTAAAATAAAACACAGCTCATTCAATCAAGGCGAGTACATGCTATGTTTAGTATTTTAAAGACGAGTTTAGTGTGAGTGGCCGTGGGTAGATGTAGTTCAGTGGACACCTTGCAGTGTACTGATAACATAACAACCTCGTTCCAAGGCAAGATTCCCGACTGACCCCAAGCGAAGGGATAAAGATCCTGGGAACGAGGTTGATAACATAACGATATATTTGTTTACTAGAAGCCCTATATGGTGACAATGTGCTATGAACATACGATAAACATGATATTCTAGATTGTAAAATAAATTACACTTTATAACATGTTCAAAGTTTGCAATACAAGGCACTCCCACAGCAGAATGCATTTGGTAAAAAGACACAGAGGTTAGAACAAGGGCAAACGATAATATATATAATTTACGTGTAATCACAAAAAGAATATGGTGTACACTACCGTGTAAATGTATAGGGCAACACCCTGACTTGATCTACATAGATGCTGTGTATACTTGTCAACATGACACGCCATTCCCCTGTTCCCAGATATGTTTTTTCTTTTTCGTAATAAAACTGACAACCCTATTTTTGTTTTSTGACAATTATTCGTGAAAGTGTTCTACAAGCTGACTTCCTGTGGGTTGCCTGTGGTTCCAAACTCTTTGGGCTTCCTGTGTTTTTCTCCTCGGTTTCAAAATGKCGGACAGGTAAGTAAAGCTGAAGGACCACGTTAAGGTATATTTTTGTATAACTCTGTGGCATCTTTTGTTATAAAAGTGATAAAACTCGAATGAGAGAGGCACACATCAAAGCGTCTATAAATCAATCGCTTGTGGAATCTGGCGAACGCGAAAGGTAAGCTGGATGAACTTCCAAATTTACCGTCTCACTTCACGGAACACGAAATGTACTGTTGACTTTTCTAATTGATCTTCATTACTAAAAAAGTGCCAAGCTGAATTCTTTTTGGTTTATTATTCAGTGGTCTATCTACTTTGGAAAGATAAAATCACCGCTCTAACCTGAAGAGATATATTGCTAATAGTGCTTGAAAGGAACCATGAAACAAAAGAGCATGCTTAAAATATGCCTAAAACTATAAAACAATTCTAAAACGATTAAATTTGACGATTGAAGCCAATTGTATTGTAAATGCAGTACAGATTGTAGTTTTGGTTGATAGATTCTTTCACAGTCTCCAAAAACATGGTGTTTGTGCATGGCTGCTTGATTCCTGAAACTCTTTGTGTTAGAGATTGTGTTTCCAGCAGCTGTTTATCAATCCATGTCAATACTATCAGAACATTCAAACTTGTCATGATTTGTCACAGCCGCCTTTCAGGGATGAGAGGATGAAGTACTAAAATGAAGTCTCAAAGTCTCACCCTCTTTATTAGAGTAAACTAAGTGTCTTGCAAGAGTGCCTTGTTATAAATTATATGCTGGCAATACATCTTTCAAATTTTGACACTGACATACCTTATTATTAGTGATCTTTGTGGTGTATATATGTTTTTTGCTTTATTTAAGGTCTTTTGAGACCTTGTTTCCATGATTTGTCATATTATTCCCCTGAAATTGGCGGCTTTGAACTACCACCATTTTAGGAAGAACTTGTGTTTGTAAGACAAGAAATTATTAGTCACATCATACTTTGCGAGCTCAATAAGCATACTTAGGTTCTCTATCATTCATGAACTCAGGGGTAATCTTATTTCTTGCTCACAGAGCAAGTACCTCTGGTGTGCCTGTCAAGTAGAGCTTGTTCCAGAAGTCCTTTCTGTTTGGTTTAAATAAATCAAATGTAATAGTTTTGATTATTTTTTTTTGCAGGCTTAAAGAATTGCTGAGGACAAAATTAATTGAGTGTGGATGGAGGGATCAGTTAAAAGAGCACTGTAAAGGTTTGTAGTTTAGTGATTTGGATCAAAAGAGTTAACATTGTTTTACCTGATAATTGCTATAGAATTCATTGTCCTGACCCAATATCAATGACTGAATTGAAATGATTGCCTAGGGTTAGGAGGTTGACATTAGACAATCTTTCAAGCAGATGTCAAAAAGTCAGGCAATATTTTTTCACCCCCTGTGACTAGTCCAATTAAAAAAGGACAGAAGTTTTTTTCAGTTTTATTTGTMTCAAGGTTATTATTGGGGTGACTAGCCAACCCATTTTTACTGTTRAAAAATAAAGAATAAAAAAAATATGACAAGAATCATCTACATGCAAGCAGTMCTTTAGACCATTTGCCAGTACTGAATCAGGACATATTCAGTGCAGGGTCCCACTGTACAGTTGGTGAAGATGATAAAGTTATCCACCTGATAGATTTTAACCTGTGGATTTTATGCGGTGATAAGAGATTAATACATGACCATTCACAATTTATGMAACCAGCCCCAAAGAATAAGCATTTTAAATAGCAATTATAGTAAAATCACAAAATTTCAAACTTAGATATAATCAAGCAAAAGGGACTTGATAATATAACAGTTGAAGACCTTGTTAAAAAGATAACTCCAAAAGGTAGAGGTGAGTACTGCA